TACCAAATTTGTAGTGATTTTTTTCAAAGAGAAAGTTGATTAAGAGAATCAATCAAAATCACTTGCACCCCTACTTCCAAGTTTGGTTACAAGATTACAACTCTGGAGAGCATTTTGTGTGGTCGTTTAGCACAGATAAATTCTATTCCAACTCTTTACTGATGTAAGCTTGATGGCCCTGAAAAGGGCCGTTTTATTGAAGAGGACATCCATGGCCACTTACGCTTGGCGTGTTTAATGTAGGTGACAGCATCACGGACCTCATTTTCCAGGAACACCTTCAGCACACCTCGTAGATCAGACCGGAGATACGTTTGACACCACCACGGCGAGCCAGGCGACGGATGGTGGTTATCTCGAAGAATTTGCGTTTGGTTCTGAATATGACTAAGAGTGTGCAAAATATTACGCATCCTCCCTATTCGCACGCGCCCGAGGATCGGAGGCGAATGCCACTTCGACTTTTTTCGTCTACTTACTACTCTCTGACGACTGTGCTGGGGAAGCAGCATATGCATGTAGGTAATTGGTGGATTTGTTAGTTAATTCGACGCTTTTGGACAATGCTGGACATTTACAAGTTTTTCAATAGTTTCTTGTTGAAAAATCAACATTCGGAAGCATTGTTATCGATGCGTAGCCATATTTCTGATCGATTGGTGATAAAGTTATTGAAATTGGACCAGGGGCAGCTGAGTTATTAACGTTCAAAATCTTTCTTAATTTGTTACATGTTCCATTTTCGGTTTTCAGAAAGTGTACCCCCATATAGAAATCAAAGACGTAGTCCTACGTCAAAAATCAGGATTGAAAACAATAAATTTAGCGTTGGAAAATTAGCAAGGCTTTTGAATCACATCAAATTTCAGGATTCGTGAGATTTTTGAGGATAACCTAAAAGTCAATTGATAATTCCTAGCATTTGTTGAAGTACCTTGGAATTCTGAGTTACCTTTCCATTCTGAATCACTTTCGAATTCTGAATTTCCTTTCAATTTCAGAATACTAAGATAATTATGCAAAGATTTGAAAGGGAAGTGTGAGATGAATTCTTTGTGAATTCAAAGGAGAATTCCATGTTAATTCTGAGTAGAGTTCCATCTGACGACCATTGCATGGAGATTGTGTGGAGAAAAAAGAATTCTATAGAGAAATCAAAGAACATTCTTAATATGAGTTTTAAGGAACGTTGTTGACAAATTCAAGGATAATTGTTGGATAGACCCTCTCCGATTTGCATCAAAATTTGCATAATTGATATTTGCACAGCCGAGTGCTCAGCAATCTGTTTTAATGAGATCTCAACAAAAACGACATTTGGTTGCTGAGTATCGGAAAATTCTTTGCTGAATCTCAGCAAACAAACGTCATATTTGCTGAGATCACAGTAAAACCGGTTGCTGAAAACTCGGCTGTGCAAATTTCTGCAAAAAATTTGCCGAGGTGACGAAAAAAACTAAGTGCATTTTTTTTCAAAATCGTGTATTTTTCAATTGGGTTCTTTAAGAGTGTTAACCTAGCTGTTACATTTTGCCTATTCTCTATCTCCACCGTTCGATTTAAGGGGAAGTTCACCGCTTCGAAAAAAATAATTACGTTTTGATTTTTCTAAAAATATTGAAAAAAAAGTATCAAAAATCTAAAAAAATCACATTTTTTTTAATTTTTTAACAAAAATTCACGTGCAAAAACATGTTTTATAAGTCATTATGGCATAAAGTTGGACTCAAAAAACCACAAAACATCAACTTTTCGGTTTTTCTGAGATTCCAATTTTTTTTCATGATGGGATAGAAAAAAATTTTTTTGCATGTAATTTTTGACAAAAATCTAAGGAAGAAACTGATTTTCTTGGATTTTTGATAATTTTTCCCAATATTTTTAGAAAAATAAAAACGCACCGAAAATATTTTTTTATTTTTGGGCCGGTGAGCTTCCCCTTAAATCTAGGTATACACAACTGCCCGTGTGCCGGCGCCGGTGGTGTAGTGGTAAGCGTGACTGCTTTCTAACACCCCGATGGGTCTGGGTTCAATCCCAGCCGAGGTCGGTGGGATTTTTCTGAGGCATAAAAATCTCTGGTCACGTCTTCCTTCGGAAGGGAAGTAAAGCCGTTGGTCCCGGCCCATGTGTGTTGTGAATGGGTGCGATATCCTACGCAGGTGTGGAAGCTGCCTTCCTGCACATTCGATTGCCGTCAATGGATGGCAATCGATGTCCGTCGGTGATTGGCACTAGATTGCGGAACAGAGACCGACGTTAAATAAAGGAATGAACAACTGCCCGTGTGTTGTTTTGTTTCGCTCTGGACGATGGTTTTGCAAAAAAAAATGTACATTTTTCACCGCCATAAGTCAAAACAAACTGCTCGAACCAGAACACGAACTGTTTCGCTTCAGCACTTTTCATTTGATGGTGCAAAACAAAATGAACGTAAATGAGGTAAATACAACCAGCATGAAATAAAATCGAAAATGAATTTGATGATGTTAAAAGGTGATCTCCTCGAAGGGAAGACACGGATTTTCAATTGAAAGTGAAGGTTGACTTTTTCGAATCTAGATCTGTATTTTCACCACAAAAAATCTTTTTAATCTGATTCTGGCTGCCAAAAATCTGTATGATTTCCGTATTATGGTCTCAGTGCAGATTTACGTAAATCTCCATTGAGCAAATTCATAATTCAGAAGGAGTTTGTTCTAAGTTTAGAATCATGAAAAATGACCAAAGTTTGAATTCTAAAGAATAATTTGTTTATTTTAAAAATCTTGAAATCCTACAATCTTCATGTGTTTTGTATCTCTTCTACAGTCTGAAAATACAAAACATTAAGTACCAATTATGAAAGACAAATCTATTTCCGGTTGAAAATTTCTAAATGAAGTAGGTAACTATCACAATTCCTTAGGATTATATTTTTTTTATGCCTGAGATTACGAAAACCTTTATCTGGACATTGAACATAACACAGAACTTTTACTGGAAGTTTAGTCGAATGGAATGCAGTAATCTTTATTTATGTAATTACGCTTTTCAAATATAAAAATATCTAACTGACTCTTCGACTCACAAACTGTAATCAACCACTTTGTTGGTTTTCTAAAATGGCTTGTTTATCGATTTGACAAAAAATATATTTAATTAACCTTCGTATCTGTAAGCATGTGACATGGTTATTTGAACAAATAGAAAGTGAAACTAATATCATAGAGGTAACTCTAAGACAAGTAGGTCCCGAAGAAACGTGCTCAAATTTTTGGCTCAGCTCTGGTACTATCTTCGGTCCCAAGCTAGTCGAATCACCCCTCGAAACATAGGAAAATCCAATAACCCCTGATTTTATCTGTCAAACTTTCATAGCAAATCAAAACAAACATTATATAGTACTAGAATTTTGACTAGAATGGGGTACGTTAATCGATTTGCTTGGGACCAATAGGCTAGTCAAGTAGTGAGCCAATTTAAAATCGTTAGTTTCGTATTGATTGTAATATCCCTTCCAACGAGAAATCAGAACATCTGTACATCAGAAGTCCATTGATTCCAAGTCCATTGGAAGCTAAAATAATAATATTTATGTAGTGAAAAATACGATTTGGGTTTGATGCTCAGATTGAATTCAATTTGCTTAAAAGGAAAAAAATGATTATTTATCGTTATTAATAAATATAAAAAAATAATGTAAAATACATTCCCTTTATTTGAAAAATCTGTATATTTGTCAAAAATCTGTAATCTGTATATACAGATATCTGTAACAAAATATTAAAAAAATCTGTATGATTACAGATAAATCTGTATATGTGGCATCACTGGGTTTGACAGCATCATCATCAGTTGACGATTTTCAAATGAAAATTACTTTTTTAGGCCCTGTTTCGAAGTATTTGGGGGCATTCATGATGTTGGCATCACAACAATCTGAGTTCGTTCATTTTGGAAATTTCTCATTCAAATCTATAAAAACTATTAAGAACACCGTGTACTACTGTATGACTTTATCAAACAATCAGACGTAGGACGTAACACTTTCCTGTGGATCATCGCATATGCATCTAATCACAGACAAACAGACATAACACATTGAATATTTCTCAGTGTATCATCGTCAAAAATCGTCGCTAAAACATTACCGCCATCTGTTGAGTACACTGTGGTGGGTAGTACGCTGAACAGATGGCGGTAGTGTGTAAACGTCAAATGCAAGGGAACTGACTATGCACGCCACAGGTGGTGTTCGATGAACAACTTGCGAGTTGTTTATCTGTTTGTCTGTGATCTAACGTTCAATTTCTCACCAAACTGAACAGATAATGAGAGAGAGAAGGATTAGTAATTTCCATTTAATTCCACTACCAGTCGAGTATTAGTACAAGACACTGAAGAAGTCTGCACATTGTGAACGAAATACGCGTATCTGTCAAGTATAAGCAAATAAGGTAGTGGAATTAAATGGATATTACTAATCCTTCTCTCTCTCATTATACAGGTATTCCACGAAGACGCCCACATTCATCAGGATTGAACAGATAAGCTCGTTTGCACGTATAAAAAAAGTGTAATTAAATATGAAATTTCTGTCTAATCGTCCTGGTGTATTCGGTGCACTTATACCCTTATACCCCATGAAACAAGAAATAACACAGTTCGAAAAAGTAGTGTAAATTTCTGTTCAATATTATGTGCATCATGCAATGGAGCGTCACATATCATATAAGCTTAAATTATAAATCATGTGAAGTTCTGAGACATTTCATGCAATGTAGCAAATATTGTATACAAAAGCCCATCTTTGTAAACAACATTGTTTACAAGTTGCCTCGGTTGCGTGAAATGAAATACAAGTTTACGTAAATGAATGTTTAAATCACAATTAAAATTCAGAATTTTTATCTGTGAAGTTAACCGAAGACACTAAGATATTTCTATACAATGTATTTATCTTGTATGCAACGTTGTTTGAGTCATAACATACAAGCTTATGTTTCCAGGACGTTATTTTGAAGCAAAAGTAGTTCAAAGAGTTACGTATATTTGTCTGTGCATTAAATATCATTTCCTCCGTTCAAGGAAAGAAAAACCGCGGACTGGCGGCGAAGAAACACTTGAGCAAAGCATACGCCACCTCGCAGTAGTCGTCGATTCCATCCGCTGCAGTCCTACACGAGTCCAGTCCAATGCGAAACGGTTCTCGGTAGTCATCCGGAAGCAGTTGAATTTGCTTGACCGCTGCATCGTAGTTTAGCTTGCCTCGTTTTGCCTAAGTAGATCAGAACATTAATTTGAGATTTTTTTTTCAGTCTAGAATTCACCCGCTTACGGTAAGCGTGAGATCCATCAAGCATGAAGCGTAGCACTGGAACACAAAGGAGGGTGGGAATTAATTGTACGATATTTGTTGGACTTATTCTTACCTTGAACTCTCTGGTATTTGGGAATACTCCACTGGAAGCACCCGCTGCTACTTCTGTTCAATCACATCGCATTAAATTCAAAAGAAATTCAACGTTCGAACCAACCACTCACCATCGGAAATATCGTACTTGGGCTGACAGACATTCCGCATGATTTCGGCAGCTCGCTTCATGTCCTCTTCCGTCATGGAACTCAGAACACCACTCAGCTTACTCAAGCACACGCCGAAAATGATCAAAAGTTTGCCGTTCATGTTAAAACATCCAGACCTCACCCCGGTCAGCGTTGAAATGGGTTCACGACAGTATCATATTCAGACGGTTTCAGTTCCTGAATCGAGATCGTTAAGTGAGCTCTATAATTAACGAATGGAGTACGACCGACAGTTTTGTCATCAGTTCACATTTCGCGTAAGGGATAGCTACGAAACTGAACAATCATGTTCTGTCATCGATAAATGTGATGACAAGAGAGGAACAAATTGCACGTAATTATATTTACTCGGAATCAATTGTGACGTAGCTGTACGGTTCGATACAAATCTGATAGTTGGCCTTATAATATTAAGTAGAAGTTTTTGCACATCCGAGCTCAAAACTTGATCTAAATATCGGATGTTTCGAAATCAGGGACGTATTTAGAAGTACGTAACGTACTTCTAACGTAACTGTCACTTTTGGCTTCCATCGCTGATTCTAGCTACCAATCATTAAATCAAGCAAAGTAGTACACCATCGGAGATATGAGACAATCCTCCATCTATTGGTCATGCCAATTTGTATGATAAAATTGTTATTTGTGAGATATCGACAATCGAAGTCAAAAGTGACAGTTACGTTATAACGAGGAATACCTGTATCTGGAAATGAGCATATATACTTAATTTATAATTAGATAGATCTTACCAAATTCCGGCTCCAATATAGCACCGGTTTGTTTACTCGCGGTAATCTTAAAAACTCTTTCGATCCTATTTTTTTAAATAACCAAACACAGCACTAATAAACCAACTCGAAATTATTGAAAAACTACATGTACGAACAGTTGACGTAGGACTACGCTCACAAATGTTAACTATTTTGATCGAACGTTATTTAAAATTCCCGATATTATTATAACATCCGTTGATTTCTTCCGAAATGTAATAATTGATCAGTGTCCATTTTCCGTTTATAACTTCGATGGTTTGTGGCTCTGAAAAGAGCCGTTTTGATGTTTTGTGGCCCTCAAAAGGACTGTTTTGGTGATGTGGTTGGTTTGAGGGGAATTAATTTTTTTTTTTTTTTTCCTTGATTTGTTTTCCGTCGATCTTGTTTTCCGTGCTGAGCACCAATGCTACCGACGCCAGGGAGGCAGCTCCCACACCTGGACCCTACCTATCGACCCATCAACTCATGAACCGGGAACCAACGGCTTTACTTCCCTTCCGAAGGAAGGCGTGATCAGAGATGTTATGCCTCAGAACATCCCGGCGGTGCCGACTGGGATTGAACCCAGGCCTGCTGGGGTGAGAGGGGAATTAATTTTGTTGCCCTGAAAAGGACGGTTTTCGTTTGATGCGCATCGTCGTCTGTCGAGCGGCAAGTAAATTATCCAGATGTTTGCCTTATGCAAAAGTGCAGCCTTGATATTAGACGGATCTCAACTTTACGAATGATTGTCTGCTTTGGATCACAGTATCCATTTCCTTGATCTCTATTAAGCAATGCTGATGGATTATGTTTAAATATTTCTAAACTTTCTGCTACGTCTAGTTTCCTAGGTACCTGGTTAGGTAAATTGTGACATGGAGTGGACTAGGGAGTGGATACCTGCTGATTTTTAGTACCTATTGATTAGTATTTAACTCGTAGATAAAAGATGGATTCTTCAGTGGTGTTGAGTACTTGGCACTGATAAAGTCTGCAAGTAGTAGACGAAATACGCGTGTCTGTCAAAAGATAAGCAATCATAACGGAATTTAAAGGAATGGTTCCACGCAAAGCTCTTCATAAAAACAATGCTGATGGATTATGTTAAGAGGTTCGACAAATTTAAAGGATTTAAGTGATCTTTATTTCTTGTATTTGTTATGTTTACATGTATGTGTTAAGGCCCAAACGCAATGACAGCGGAAGCGGAACGGCAGCGGCAGCGGAAAAGCCCGATCTGAGTAAGCCTACTTGTCGGATTGAAAACAAGATAGAACCAAATCGACTTCGGCTAGGCAGCATGATGTCATTTGTGACAAATGTCAAACTTTCCGTTCCGCTTCCGCCCACATTGCGTTTGGGCCTTTATCATGTGACACAGATGCGTCTTTTCAACTTTAGTTCTTTTGAAATTTCAATTATTATTAATAACAGTTCCTAGTTCAATCAGGCCTGTTTTAGAGAATGACCACCTTGGTGGGATTGGTTTGTTTTAAATTAGAAAAAGGAAACTACTTATAACTACTATTTACAACTACAACTAACCTACAACTATTTTGACGTAGGACTACGTCTGTGATTTCTATATGATATTTCTATATTGTAAGAAACCGAAAATGGAACATGTAACAAAATTATGAAAGATTTTGAACGTTAATAACTCAGCTGCCCCTAGACCAATTTCAATAATTTTATCACCAATCGATCATAAAGCGACGCATCGAAAGCGATTGTTGATTTGCGACGGGTGGCAGTAAAGTCGCTATACTCATAGTCTGGCGGATATAATTTCGATCTATCAAAAAGTGGAACCAATTCAATATATTTTAGGCAAACAATTGAAAGGGTACTATTAACATTTATAAACAAACGTAAATTATTCTTTCCCCGTCAATACAACGCAAATTACCGGCATCATCGGATAAGGGAAACTTTCCACAACCCAAAGATGGTATTAGTTTGCGTAGGCGAGCCTTGAGTTCAATTGGTTCCCGAGATTCTATCCGCCAGACTATGAATATAGCGACTATAGGTGGCAGTCCTTGGTGGTGAATGCAGTCAGCAGCAGATTCTCGGACGGCATACGGGTGGAGTATTGAAGAAGTGGAGAATGCGGTTTCTGCTGGCCTGAGAAGCGATTGTTCTTGGAGGCGCTGTAGACCTTGAAGCTGATCGAATTGTCCGGCAGGGTGTACGGGTTGGTGGTCCGTTTCGGGTCAGCGGTGTGTCCTTCATCAGTCCGACGTGTGTTGGTTTCCAGTTTTCCGACAGATGATACTCGGGCGGTGAAAAATTCGATCCTCCGCCGGCTCCCAGAAGGGTTGGTTAATTGATGTTTGACGTTCGTTGTGCGGGGTGGGCCTTCTGCCGAAGATGGAAGGATCGTGTAGCAACGGAGCTCGTCCGTTGCAGGCATCCTTTGGAGACGGATGCATCCAGTGTGTAGTCCAAACTGGAGTCCGTGTCGTTTTTGAAAACATTGAAAAACAAAACAAAAATAAGAGCTGTTAAAATACCGGGTTGCCAAACAAGGCATTATTCACAAGCAATCAAAAGTCAGTTCAATGACTTCTTGGCACTGCCGGTACAGCTGCGGCACACTGAGGTACACTGAGAAAAAAGATGGCGCAAAACAAGTGTGCAGAGTGACCACACAGCAAAAAAAGCTGTTGAATATTACATCGAAACTGCTGCAACCAGGTCAATCCATCGGTTGTGTAATATCACATTGTACGATGTACATCAATTTTGCGAACAAAATTACATCCATTGATATAATATTGTATCTGCTTTTTGCTATTAAATCATTATTTCATACATCAGCTTGAATTACGTTGATCGATATTACATTTTTTTTTTGTGCACTCCTTGGTCAGGTTACGACTTTTTGCGCTTTGGAAGATATTAAAAATAAAAAGCTTGTGCCATCATCCACCAGATGGGATAGTATTTTTGTTTTGGTTTTGCACAAAGTAGATTTTGTGTACAATGATTCTTTGACAGTGTGCAAAGAGTGTGTCATTTTGTCATTTTTTTTATGCATTTCAATTTTAAGTAGAGTGAAAGAGATAGAACCAAAACATTCTAGTACATTTGGTGAAAATGCAAGTTCAATTCTGTAGTAGCAGGGGGTGGAAACTAACGATTTTAAATTGATTCACTGCTTGAGTAGCCTATTGGTCCCAAGTACTTCTATGGCGTACCCCATTCTAGTTGAAATTCTATTACTACACTATGTTTGTTTTGATTCGCTATGAAAGTTTGACAGATAACATCAGGGGTGTGTGGATTCATGCAGAACATGCAGGGGTGAGTGAAATAGCTTGGGACTGCTTGGGACCGTTGTTCTGGTACTGAGTGAGCCAAACATAATAATGATTTTCTTCGGGACCCAGTGGTCTTAGAGTTACCTCTATGGTAGTAGCATAGAGGTAACTCTAAGACCAGAAGGTCCCGAAGAAACGAGCTCAACTTTTTGGCTCAGCTCTGGTACTATCTTCGGTCCCAAGCTAATCGATGCACCCCTCGAAACATAGGAAAATCCACTAACCCCTCATTTTATCTGTCAAACTTTCATAACTAATCAAAACAAACATAGTGTAGTACTGGAATTTATACTAGAATGGGGTACGTTAGTCGATTTGCTTGGGACCAATAGGCTAGTCAAGTAGTGAGCCAATTTGAAATCGTTAGTTTCGTATTGATTGTTGGTAGTAGTGTTGCCATGTGGTACAATCCAGTAGTAGTGGTGTTGCCATGTGGCACACTGAAAAACTGCAATAGCAGGTTAGTCACCAAAGTTTTCGAGCCACTCCGTCTGTCACTTCGTTTGTGGTACAACCATAGAGGTAGCTCTAAGACTAGTATGGGGTCCGTTAATCGATTTGCTTGGGACCAAGCTAGTCAAGTAGTGAGCCAAGTTAAAATCGTTAGTTTCATATTGATTGTTGGTACAACCCCATAGGGCTGTCTCTTTTTGTTTTTTTTTTTTTCTACCGAGCTCGGCTGTGCAAATCTCGGCAAAAAAAAGTTTCACTGAAATCTCAGCAAAAGCGACATTTGATTGATGAGTCTCGGATAACGCTTAGCTGAATCTCAGCTAACAAATGAAATTTTTGCTGAGATCTCAGTAAAACTTTTTTGCCGAGATTAGCACAGCCGAGCTTGGTACAAAAGAAAACTGAGTGTAAGGTGTACTATCTATACTTTATACAAATTGCTTGTCAAAGCATGTTCTGATGTATTACATTTTTGTGCAAATTTAGTCTTAATTTCGTTACTTCTAGAATCTATTTTGGGAATGCCTGCCTCTTCGTGTAGATTTGTTATTCTAGGTCGACAGGACGATCAAGAAACATCCTCAGCACTCTATTCTGAGCGACCTTGATTTTGTTCCTGTGAGTCTGTGCACATGATTCCCACACAGGAGCTGCGTAGAGGATCGCAGGTGCTATGATTTGTTTGTAGACAGCTAGTTTGCTCACCCTTGAGAGGCGGGATCTGCTGCAAATCAGCGGATGCGAACGGAAGAGGAGCTTTTCATCGAACAACATCCCGAGATAGGTTACTTCGGCAGACCACTCAACCCTTGTGCCATCCATGAGTACAATACAATATGGAGCCGGTTTCAGTTTGGGCGATTGCCGATGGAGGAACATGATCGCTTGTGTTTTGGAGGCATTGATTTTGATTTTCCACGTGGTGGCATAATCAGCAAAGGGGTTAAGACATCGTTGAAGTTAGTTCGTTATTTCGTGAGGCAACCTTCCTTTGACGGCTATTGCGGTATCATCTGCGAACAGGAAAAACACGCAAACGGTCTCCGAGGGGAGGAATGTCGGAAGTGCAGATGCTCTAAAGCAACGGGCCCAACAGACTGCCCTGCGGGATGGTTTTTTTTTTCGAGATGGGGACCACGGAGCAGCTCGGAATTTTAGTTTGCTGTAAATCAGTTAAAACCATGCCTTTCTACGGCTCTATCTTCATGGTTTTCAGGGTTTTCATGAATAGACTATATTCTAGTGTTCAGAATCATAGGGGCTAACTGCAATGATCGATTATCTTCATCGTTCTTCTCTTTTTTTAATAACTCGGCTGGATTGTTGTTGCATTTACAAGTTAATACCACCATTCACTATACTGTATTGTAATAGTTTCGGAACATTGTTTCACTGAACTGTGGTTAGGCGAAGAGAGACTCGATGACGAGAATCGGATGGTCCCGGAACGACCAAGATGGTCAATGATCCATGGCGAGACTATACATAATCTATGCAAGAGAAACCATGGAGAAAGAGCTGCCGAACGGCATAGGTGCTTGTATGCATTAGTTATTTATAATGGTATCTGCTAAAGTCTTCTAAGTAAAAGCGTCAACAGTCGTTCCAATCGAACCGTCAAACGCACTGCTTTGCTCGATTAGAACAACTTTTTTATAGTTTTGTGGTGATAGTCGTCCATACTTTTACTAGAGTGCTTTAGTAGCTATAGGTATGTTCAAAATATGTATTAACTGTGAAGCTAGATTACGATTTTAGTAAAATTAAGCATACCTATTATATTATGTGTAGTTTTGCTTGGGACTTGTCAGGCTCACACCCAGTGTTCGGAAAATCATTCTCAAATCTCATTCATTGAGCCTCCCTGCGAGAATAAACTCGCGTGCGAAACTGGCAAACAAAATTCACGCTTGAGATTCTCATGCATATTCATGCACTCACACTCACAACGCCGAAAAATCATTCCAGCTTTATACCCCGGACAGACTATGACTTATATCATGTAATATAGGCTGTCTTGCAATGAACACTCATACATCTAGTTTTCACTGGAAATTCAATGTATGAGTGCTCATTGCAAGACAGCCTATATTACATGATATAAGCCATAGTCTGTCCAGGGTATTACACTCATAAAAACCACTCAAACGTCAAACGATATCATGCCTATGCATGTTGTGTTAGTTTTCCAACCCTTGATGCGCAAACAATAGTAATATAAATGAATAACGCCAAAATAGAAAGCAATGCATTTTTGAACCTGAAAACTCATCCGTGATTTTTGCGTCGTTGAATTTTGCAAGGCAAAACTCCCCAACTAACATTTTCAGCTTTGTAAGCCAACTTTTCCAGCGTTGTGCTGTAAAGTAGCTGAAAAGAAGCTGCAGATACAGCTACAAGCAAAAGCTAGCAAAATAGTTTTGGAGAGCGTTTACTCAACTTTCTCACAACCATTATTCAATTTGTCAGTCGCACTGAATAACATCAGCATAAACGCTAATGTCACTTCTATACATACACTACCCAACTTTCAACTTGTAGCTGCAAAACAAAGCTAACAAAGTGAATATATTACTCATTTGATGGCTTCTACGAGGCTTCTACACAACCAACCACTCTTTCTGAATAACATAAACATCAAAAGTGCTTTTTCAACAACTAAACAACCTATACTCAGCTTATAAACTGTGTTAGAGCTACTTCGGAAGCATTTTCACAGTCAACTAGGTTTATTTTTAGACGTGTGCAGTTTTACAGCTTTTACTCTGCTCTTTTATGACTAGTCGAGAAAAGTGATTCATGTGTACTATTATAAAGCCTCTACTCAGCGATTTTGTTATAGAAGGGAATGTTGATTTGTTTACATAAGTTCAAAGTGTTGGCGTAGCACAGTTGGTAGTGTCAAGGTTTGCCAATGAGGTCGTCTCGAGTTCGATTCCAGGTTCTCCGGTGCAGGGTAAATAATTTGGTGATGATTTGTAACTAATTTCGATTAATTTGATTCACAGCTAAATAAACTCAATAAATTCCTTCATAAAAAAGCGTAAACAGTATTTAGCCCGGCTTCAAGAGAAAGCTGTGTAGTGATTATTGGATAACCGGGAAAAGGTTGAATAAGCGCCTTTAAAGTTCACACACAGTGTTCACTCGGCTGTCGTCGAAAGCAGGCCACTCTCGATGTGTGCTACGCGATCGTCTGTTTTCTCGGCAGCAACCATTGTGTGGTCCTCCTCATTGTTCTTCATCAGCAGTTCTTTCAGTCGATGCGTCGTCGACTTTGGAAAGCAACCGTTTCGTGATGGGTGTGTGAGTGCTGACCACGTTTTGCGTCCATTGCTGCAATGGACGCGCTCTGACCCTCGTTGGCGTACAACAATTTGCCATACAATGAAACCACTGGAAGCGGCTCCAGTTCTGATGGAGGAGGCTTTTTGGATAGCGGAAGATAAAGTGTTTATTGTGTTGTACCTTTTGACTATAGTTTTAAGATGTATTGTATAGTGACCAAGAATCCTCGGCTCTGTAAAGTTAATTCGGTTGAGTCTTATCAAATAAGTTAATAATAAATAAATAAAGTTCACACACAACTAAACAGCAGGATAACAACTGTATAGAAGCGTTAATGGATATGCAATAAGAGCTTCTCCCGACCGTTCCAACAGCTATAAGTAGCTGACTAAGTTCGCCAGATTTGCTTGTATAGAGATTGAGTAAAGGTTTCCTCATATCGTATAACGTTTGAATACAGCTTGAGACTGTATAAATGAAATGAGTAAAGCGTTTACAGTGTGAAAATTGTTAGTTGGGACCCCTATAAACAGTAGGTGGTCAACTAGATGATATGGGTAAGACCTTGGTGAAAGAATTTTGAAAATTGGTTGCGAAACTACTAGTTGAACATTTAGGACCTAGTGATTCGTGAACCTGGTATTTGGAGTGTTAAAACAATGACCGATACTTTCGGTTGCACATTGTGCACAACTTCCTTCCGTTATGATCAAAATATCCTAAAGCGTTAAGGGCCACCCACATTAGATCCGGATCTGACACGTTGCGACAAAGTGACAGCTAACGGCGCCGGTGGTGTAGTGGTAAGCGTGATTACCTCTCACCCCAGCAGGCCTGGGTTCAATCCCAGTCGGCGCCGCCGGGATGTTCTTGAGGCATAACATCTCTGATCACGCCTTCCTTCGGATGGAAAGTAAAGCCGTTGGTCCCCGGTTCATGAGTTAATGGGTCGATAGGTAGGGTCCAGGTGTGGGAGCTGCCTTCCTGGCACGTCGGTAGCATTGGTGCTCAGCACGGAAAACAAGATCGACGGAAAAAACAAACCAAAGGAAAAAAAAAAAAAAACAAAGTGACAGCTATATCATATGTCAAACTGTCTAATTTACGTCAACGCAACGCAAACGGATCTAATGGCCCTTTAGTGCGTGTGTGTGGCGTTAATTACGGCAAATTTCATAATAGCAGCAATTAACCATACACGGTAATTGAAACCACTTCCTACTAATCGTCACCCCAATAAATCGACAGTAACTGACCCAAAAACTATAAAACAAATCCCCTCAGCTAACAACCTACTCAGTTTGATTTCAACGATCAATCTCAAGAGGTATCAATTAAAAGTGATTATCCTATAAACCTCCAGTGGTAACTTTAGCCGGTTTGATTCATAAAAAACAAGCGAGGGAATCTCCCTACAACGATGACTTGTTAATATATCGTCGTATCATCATCAAATCACCCACCAGCGCAAAACCCCTCCTCTCTATTAGTTGAGGGGGAACACACAATGATGAAGACCCTCGCCGCAATCGTTTAGCGTGAGATAGCGTGCCACCTAGCCGTTCCGATACGATATGGAATTCAGCTGGAGGTTTCTACTGCTGACGACAACCCTCATACTGTGCACCCAATTCAACGGACATGATTGCGTAGGTGTTCACTGCAAGTGGTTTGGATAGACTGAAATATGACCCTAATTGTTCTTTAATTCAATTTCACCTCTAGGGAGTTACCAAGGAGCAGATGGAAAAGACAGCCAAAATGTTCCGACAGGTGTGCCAACCCAAGCACAAACTAACCGATGGTACGCTTGTTTGAGAGAAATTTTCACAAAATGTGAAAAAATTTGCCAAATGACATGACAAACTCTTTGTTTCGAATATTAATGTAAACTACCTATTACGTATTTTGTCTCAAACTAGATATTCTGGATGGAGGAAAAAATGGCATCTTCCCCGATACGAAAAATTTCAAATGCTACGTCAGCTGTCTGCTCGACATGATGCAAGTGGTATGATTTTAGCTAAAACCTTTCTAACACAAATCGTTGATATGTATTGCGTTTTGAATATTTTAGACAAAGCGTGGAAAAATCAGCTACGAGAAATCGTTGAAGCAAATCGATCAACTACTTCCGGAGGACTTCAAACCGGCTTTCCGCATAGGATTGGAAGCCTGCAAAGATGCCGGTTAGATTAGTGCACGCACAAACCTTTAAGTTGTTTTTCTTAATAATTTGAATTGCCAAACTTCTCTTAACAGCCCAGGGAATCAAGGATCATTGTGAATCAGCCTACGTTCTGCTCAATTGCTTTTATGCCAACAACCCCAAGTTCATTCTCCCATAATCTTGACCCAACCGACGCTCGTTTAATGGACAATTCTCCGAATCAAACTCGTCATAAGTGTTAAATGTGATATCTTAAGGCCAATCTGTCGAATCATAGCTTACTCGTTGCTGTAGAAATTGCACAGGATTGTTGATTTGTACAATATATCAAGAGCAAATTTTCATTATGTCGTAAGTAACATTCGCACCAATCCGAGAAAAATAAAGTTTTGTTTTGATGACCGAAAAGTTATTCCTATTTCCAAGTAAACACATATAATCTCATAGTGATAGCAATGTTTAACATATTTAGCAGGGTTTTAATCATACAAATGCAAATCGCTAGCTTTCATGCTAAAAATACTGGTTTTTGAGTCAAAAGTTATTATACGTCGTTTGGTGGCCCCTATTGTTACTTAAGTCAAAGTGTATTTACCAGGATATTCGGGAGAATTATCAATTACGTCTCCTTACGTGCAGCCCATTCATCATTTTAGGACCACCGAAATCATCTTAGCAACAAACAGTTCGATTTATTCACTTTAATAATGAGAAAGCGAAACGACGAACGTACACTTTTCACGGGTTTCTCAGCACTGTTACTTAAGTCAAACGGCATCTCCATAGAAATTGGGTGACTTAAGTAACATCGAAAACTATTTTGATCGGAAGGTGATTACGTCAAAAAGCAATTTGACTGGTAAATAAATTTAAAAATGGGATTTGATCCTATATTCGTACAGTATATAGTGTAATAGCAGGAGAATCGATTGACACTGATAGCTCGACTTTGTTTACCTTTGTTACATTCGACGTAATGAAAATTTGCTCTTGATATGAATGATATAACAAGATTAATGTTTAATTCGCATATCTCGGAACAAACCCTGAATTTGTGACGTCACTGTTTTTATTCATGCTTTATTCATGCTTGCATCTTAAAAATAACTATGCATCTACCATACGAGACATAAGAGAACCACCTTTTGATACCATAGCAAGTTTAAGCAAAGAAAAATTTAGGATTGTTCTGATGGAGACATTTGACCAGCGCCCAAGCGGCTTCGCAGTTGTTCTTGATGCCATCCGCTGCAAAGAACAAAGAATTTATGTGCAATTAGAGAAAAATTCCAATCCCGAATGCTTTCATCTCAAGTTACCCGAATTTCGACACATATCGAAAGCCTTCTTGGTGGGTTCTGCGATTTCCGTCGGGATGAGCAGGTCCACCTGTTTGATTGCACCTTCGGCGTTCACTTTGCCTTTACGAATCTGGAAAAAATGGAACAAATGGTTTTTTTTTTTGATAATTAATTAATTTGATACGGCTCAACCGAATTAACTTTACAGAGCCGAGGATTCTTGGTCACTATACAATACATCTTTAAACTATAGCCAAAAGGTACAACACAATAAAAACTTTTTCTTCAGCTATCCAAAAAGCCTCCTCCATCAGAACATCTTTAAACTATAGTCAAAAGGTACAACACAATAAAAACTTTTTCTTCAGCTATCCAAAAAGCCTCCTCCATCAGAACGGGAGCCGCTAGCAGCGGTTTCATTGAATGGCAGTGTCGCCAACGAGGGGCAGAGTGCTTCCATTGCAGCAATGGACGCAAAACGTGGTCAGCACTCACACACTCATCACGAAACGGTTGATTTCCAAAGTAGACGACGCATCGACCGAAAGAACTGCTGATCACACAATGGTTGCTGCCGAGTAATCAGACGATTGCGCGACACACGAGAGTGGCCTGCTTCTACACGGAGAAAAAATACTACCCAAAATTTGAGTTCTTTTTACTTAATATTGACTTTTGTCTCTCACTTGCACTCATTATTGTTGTCAAAAAAGGAACGAGAGTTTCGTCCCAACGATATAGTTCGGCCCAATAAGTTACTTTTGAGTAAATTGCATATTCTCAAATTTACGTGAATTAAACTTAATTTTGGGTAGAATACACTTAAGAGTAGGTAGTTTTTTTGCTGGTGTTAAATGGAAACTACTATATGCGATTTACTCAAATTTGGGTTATCGGGCTGAACCCCGGAATTGAGGGAAATGTACTTCTTCGTGTACCGACAGCCGAGTGAACACTGAGAACAATGGTTAAGGTTCAATTTACTTTGATGCATTTTGGAAAAATTCAAATGCAGTTTTTTTTTCGACGCATAATTTCAGATTGCAAAAAGCTCGCGTCATTCTATTCTTTTTGCTATCTTACACAAAATGACCGAAGAGAGTACCAGAGCTGAGCCAAGAATTTAAGCACGTTTCTTCTGGACCTTCTGGTCTTTGATAGTAATCCTATATATAGAGATTCGCGGAAGCGGCCATTTTGAGCCAATCGAGCAGTGAGAACTGTCAAAATGTGAGCCAAACGAGCATTCTGATTAGAAAATATTCAGAGGAATGAGTTAAAAAATATTATAATCGGGGTGAAATAAATTCAAACAAATAGTTTAAAAATAAAATTAAAAAAATAATATAGTAGTAAAATGCGTATGACAAAAGAGAGTTTTATGCATTGTAAAAAAATAATATAATAAATTGTGAATGGATATTTTTTATATATTTTTAGTTCATTATTTTAGGTGCTGATTGCATCTACAACTGGATTGTCCCAAAAATTCAAAATGTGTGATAAAAGTGCACGATTCCGTCAAATCGTTTTGGTGTACCTTTGGAGCACTCATTGCTTGTATTATAAGGAATGAGTTCACTGAAGACAACAAGACGATTAGAAAAAAAACTCGCACTTTTATCACCGACAAACCGACGTGACACTTAATTCTGACTTTTGCCCGAAAATTGCAAACGGTCGATTTAAAAGTGCAGTGATCCAAACTGTCAAAACCATAGGATTTTTTTTTATCTAGATAAAAACAATTTGTCCAGAGTAGATCAAACACGATCCAATTCATAACTTTTGCATGCGGATTCATGGCTTTGCTAAATATTTCCCGCGAACACGGAGCTAGATGTCAGTACACGGTAAGAAAAAGTACCCAAAATTGAGTTCCTTTCACTCATCACGTGGCTTCCGTGGGGCTAGGTAAAATTAAGTTAAAGAAGAAAACTCAATTTTGAGTAATCCTGATCATGAATCCACGTTGACCAAGTTGACAAAAAAATAATAAGACGGAGCAGACTGGAACCGAACCATGGACGTTGAGATTACGGGGCCCGTGTGTTGACCACTCGTCTATCAACGCTTGTGAAAATGAAATGGTTAAAGGCGCATAAAAGCAACCTCAATGAAAATAAACTTATATTTGAGTTCATTTATTATTACTCAATAGTTGAGTAAATTTTAACCAACGCCGCTTTTCTGATTCACTCAACGGCGGACCTCAAATGATAGAACCCAACGTTGAGTTTTTTTTTAACTTAATTTTGAGTATTTTTTTCTTACCGTGTAGAGTGCTTTGGCCAGAAATTTTATTGTTTTTGCTATGGTCATTCATGTCGGTTTGTCGGTGCTTTAATCACCCTTTGAAAACGAAACGCACTTTTATCACCCTTTGAAAACGTGCTTATTTGTCCAGTTTGGTGTGAAGTGCGCAATAAAACAGTACGCAATATTTCTATTTTTTCCAGCAATAAATTTTAATTATTTAGCAATCAAATACAATTGCGTGTGCTCGAAGTGGTATTGTACGAAGCTTAAATTTTATCTAGATAACACCAAATAATTATCATTGTAACATACACTACACAAACTCAATGGTTAACCAGTTAACAGAGAATTCAAACAAACTCATAGCGTAGACAACGATAAAGTCACGCACAAAGCTGGAACATTTTGCTCCACGGCAAGTGTTAGCAGCTTTTGTAAACAAAACGCGAATCTCTGTATATAGGATTACTAGCCTTTGAGTTACCTCTATGGTACAACCACAAACGATGTGACAGACGACTAACTGGCGAAGAAATCAATTAAAATAATGTGGTTCGCTGTGATAGAATTTTCTTAGAAGCTTGTGCCATCAGCCTAGATTTTTGATTTTTTGTTCAGATGGGTTAGTATTTTTGTTTTGATTTGAACATAGTTTATTTTGTGTGCAATGATTTTTTACAGTGTGCAAAGTGTTGAGATAACGAACAATCACAGCAACCAGCTGAAACCTAAACCTATCAAAGTAGCCTGTAAAGAATGATTAATAAAAATTTATTCATTCCACTGTTATAGTACGTTCAGACTACAGAGTTATAACATGTTATAGCGCTATCTTGATTGTGGGTTCTGTGTTGCAATTATTTGACAACCGTTATAACATGTTATAACTCTCCAGTCTGGACAGCGTTTTATGCTTTGTTCAGACTGGAGAGTTGTAACATGTTATAACGGTTGTCAAATAATTGCAACACAGAAACCACCATCAAGATAGCGCTATAACATGTTATAACCATAGAGGTAACTCTAAGACCACTGGGTCCCGAAGAAAATCATTATTATTTTTGGCTCACTCAGTACCAGAACAACGGTCCCAAGCAGTCCCAAGCTATTTCACTCACCCCTGCATGTTCTGCATGAATCCACACACCCCTGATGTTATCTGTCAAACTTTCATAGCGAATCAAAACAAACATAGTGTAGTAATAGAATTTCAACTAGAATAGGGTACGTTAATCGTTTGCTTGGGACCAATAGGCTACTAAAGTGGTGAGCCAATTTAAAATCGTTAGTTTCGTATTGATTGTTGATGTTACGTTGCTTAAATACAACTAAATCATAATGTTTTCTAATGTTTGACATCAGGCATACATTTGATTTCGATGCTGAGACATCAAAATCAAACGTTGGGCTAATGTAAATTTCTATTCAGGACCAATTTAAAATTCATCAAGGTGTTGTGTTTCGTATTCAAGTCAGTCAGCTGGCACTGAAAACTCCAACAGTAGGCCGGACAACAACTCACTTTATTATATCTCAGATGACGCAGCGGTTCATGCTGGGGCTCTCACGCAGGAGGGGTGGGTTTATTCATCAAACAGCTCCAATTCTACTACTAATGCTGTGATAAATCATTACACATTAATACCTGTCTTTAGAAATAACTTTCAACTTAATATAGAATTTTGGTGTAGAGGAAAAAAAAATCTTTTTAAATTTATTTTCTAAAAGTTCCGTTCAAGTTCCGACAGAAGCTGCTAAGAATGTTCTTCAATTATGATACCGGAACTTTCAAGTTCTTATAACGACTTAAAAATGAGGCTGCTTAGAATTCCATAGGCTACCACCAACCAAGCTGCTTAAGCCACAAATAGCCTTTTATCAGAACTTTTGGTTACTTGGGTGTGCCATCAGCCTAGATTTTTGATTTTTTGTTCAGATGGGCTAGTATTTTTGTTTTGATTTGAACATAGTTGATTTTGTGTGCAATGATTTTTGACAGTGTGCAAAGAGTGTATCATTTTGGCATTTTTTATACATTTCAGTTTTGAGTAGAGTGAAATAAATAGAACCAAAACATTCTACTGGATTGTACTAGCATTTTCACCAAATGTACTGGTAAATGTTTTAGTTCTATAGAGGTTACTCTAAGACCAGAAGGTCCCGAAGAAACGTGCTCAACTTTTTGGTTCAGCTCTGGTACCAACCGGTGGAAACTAACGATTTTAAATTGGGTCACTACTTGACTAGCCTATTGGTTCCAAGCAAATCGATTAACGTACCCCATTTTAGCCAAAATTCTAGTACTACGCTATGTTTGTTTTGATTCGCTGACAGATAAAATGAGGGGTTCGTAGATTACCCTATGTTTCGAGGGGTGCATCGATTAACTTGGGACCGAAGATGGTACCAGAGCTGAGCCAAAATGTTGAGCACGTTTCTTCGGGAGCTTCTGGTCTTAGAGCGAGTCTTAGAGTTACCTCTATATATGCTGGTACTCTCTTCGGCCCCAAGCTAATCGATGCACCTCGAAACATAGGAAAATCCATGAGCCTTCATTTTATCTGTCAAACTTTCATAGCGAATCAAAACAAACATAGTGTAGTACTAGAATTTCAACTGGAATGGGCTACGTTAATCGATTTGCTTGGGACCAATAGACTAGTCAAGTACTGAGCCAATTTGAAATCGTTAGTTTCGTATTGATTGTTGCTACTACTGGATTGTACTAGCATTTTCACCAAATGTATTAGAATGTTTTGGTTCTATCTCTTTCACTCTACTCAAAACTGAAATGCATAAAAAAATGACAAAATGATACACTCTTTGCACACTGTCAAAGAATCATTGTACACAAAATCAACTTTGTTCAAATCAAAACAAAAAACTAACCCATCTGGTTGATGATGGCACAAGCTTCCAAGAAAATTCTATTACAGTGAACCACATTATTTTAATGGATTTCTTCGCCAGTTAGTCGTCTGTCACTTCGTTTGTGATAGTACCATAGAGGTAACTCTAAGACTAGAAGGTCCCGAAATAACGTGCTCAACTTTTTGGCTCAGCTCTGGTACTCTCTTCGGTCCCAAGCTAATCGATTCACCCCTCGAAACATAGGAAAAACCAATAACCCCTCATTTTATCTGTCAAACTTTCATAGCTAATCAAAACAAACATTGCGTAGTACTAGAATTTCGACTAGAATAGGGTACGTTAATCGTTTGCTTGGGACCAATAGGCTACTAAAGTGGTGAGCCAATTTAAAATCGTTAGTTTCGTATTGATTGTTGATAGTACGAAGTCCGACATGTTTCACGCACAGTCTGACCTTTGACGTTTGCTTATGGGTTTTACCATATATGGAGTAAAGAGCTAGAGTCCCCGTCAACGCCAGTTGGTCTGAAGACGGCAAGGCCTTTTGCCTCATAATTATGGTGCGTCTTGCCCCATTGCTATAGTACATTTTACCCTAGCATGGGTGCATTTTGCCCAAATATATCTGAAAGAGCTTCGTTTTCTGAGCACAGCGATATTTTTTTCGAACCCACACACTTTCATCTCGATTTTTAAATCAAGATTTAAAGCAAAATAATAACTTCATTGTTTGACACTAAACTGACAAACTGACAGCTCGCTCCCATACAAAGTGACACCGAGGGGCGCTAATAAAGTGATTTTTGCAAATGTAATCGTTCTTATTTAAAATAGTTCCAGTTTACCAAAATTTATTAACTTTTGGGCTTGGGTTCCATTTTTAATGCAGATTACGAATATGCATTTACCTCAATACCCTTAAAGAACCCAATTTCTGAAACAACTTTTAAAGTGCACCCCACATGACAGAAGTTTTGTCAATGTTTCCATCAATAATATCATGTCAATATTTTCTACAATTTTTCTGGGGTTCATCAATACAGGGTCGCTCCTCACTAACATTTATGTATCCGATGGAATATTCCGAGTCAAATCACAACCACCTTGACAAAAGTTACCAAGAAACAGGCACCATCTGCTGCTGTAGTCAAACCGTAGGGGAAAATGAGGGGAAATATTGAAACATGAAATCAAACTTTTCTAATTTTGCGTCAATATGTTCATCAATATTTCCGTCGTCAATATTTGTATCAATATGATTGTCAATACTTCTGGGTATTGACAATATTTTTGCCCGTGTGGTGCTTGCTTAAAGGTTTTTTTTTTTCAAAGTGTTCATGTACAGTCAACTTTCGCTGGTTGGGTTTAATCCATAGCCCACTTGGTGAAAGGCTTTCGTTAGTTGGGCTGAGCTGTCAAAGCTGAAAATTGCTTGCGGATACATCGATAGTCTATTATCATCAAAATCGTTTAGTAACTATCTAAATTGTGAATCTGCAATGTCAGAAATTACGTTTGACTTCGATTTAGGTGGGCTACAGCCCAACTAACGGGAGCCCAACTAAAACGTAGCCAACTTAAAGATAGCCCAACGAGCGTAATTCGACTGTATATTGCGAATATAAACAACTAAATAATGCTTAAGAAAATGTATGCAATACATAATATTCACTGTTGATTTTAACGGGAAAACACCTTGATGTCCTTAACATACCATGATGTATTTAACCCCAGGAACCCCTACTACTTAAAATATCGGAACAAAATTAAATCTACTTAGGGAAACAAAAATAGGATAAGCTAGGGAAAAAAGAGCCATCTACTTGAATTATTTATTGTTTTGCCAGTCTCAATGTAGTCTCAATGCTAGTTTGAAAAAGCAAACCATCATTGCGGTTGCATTAAGCCTTTTTAATATTGACAAACAAATAAATTAATAAATGTACCTGCGTTTCCCCACCTTAACCTACATGGAAAATAAATAATCAAAACACCCAGCGGGATTGCATTACAGTAGAGGCCATGATATTCACCCATATTCTCGTTTCCGTTCGAACCGTTTTTCCATACAATAAAAAAATGTATGAAAAATATAGTTCGAACGAAAACAAGAATATGGGCGATGTATACCTCCCTGACTGATTACAAAAAAACAAAACTCCTTAATGAACTCACCGCCTGCATCATCTCCAGCACACAATTGACGTAGCATTTTAGCTCCTTGTTGTCAGCAAATTCTCCCCGGCCCAGTCCATCGAGCATGTCCATGGGTGCTTTCGTTTTGCCGACGCAAACACTCCGCATCATCTCGCTCGCTTTGGCCATTTGCTCCATGGTCGATTTCTGTTCAACACCGTCCAATTGGCAGCCAAGCAAAAAGCACCGTGATATACAAATAGAAAACGGTCCGTCAATAACACTTAGAAGGAAATGTTCTCCACAGAATGGCAAATATTTACACTTTCCACCCGGTGAAGGGATAATTGCACAACTAGAGCGTAGGTCGTTACTAGCAGGACAAACCTATGCAAAACCATCTTGGAGAGGAGGAGTGGGGTTATCGATTTACCGAGTTTACTGATTGACCGATAGGTACTACTGATGGGTTGGTTTCATTGATGAAACATTTTTATATAGAAATTGACAGGAAGCTGCTTTTATCATTAAACATTACCTGCGGTCGGTAGATTGCATGTTCCGATAAATACGAGCGCTACAAAATCACCATGGGCACCTCCGGTGACAGCGGAAAGCCCACCCACAGGCGGTGATCGAATGCAAATCGATATCTCGCAAATTTGCCCAGCAATGAGGTTGCAATTTTCTCAATCAATCAAGCAGGGCATTTTTGGCATGAATAAAACATGACTAGGCTAATTTGTCTACAAAACTAAACTTTATTACCCTTGCAACTTTCATTCAATAATTTGCTATCACATTTGAATCATATCGTTGTTGGTTTTTATAGAGAATGTGTCAATACTTGGTAGCGTTCATTCCATCCTATGGCTAGTAACGAGAAATGTTTCACTAGTAATATTAATGTCTCTCGAGGACGGAACTGTTTCCTAGACCCGAATTCCCGGGCGATTCCTTAGCTTTTTGAGGCAAACGTAAATTCCGCCGAATACGAGCATCACCAGCGGCAGTCCGATGCCGATTCCGGCAACGATCAGGACAAAGGCAGACAGCTTTTCAATCGGAGGAACTCCGTAACCAACCTGGAACGTCATGGTGGTGTAGTTCGTTTTACTGTAGAATCCATCGCCGCTGAAACCGAACGAGATGTTCATGCCCTGAACCAGCAGTGAGTCTAGCTTTGAGCCATAAATTGCATAGGCAAGGGTGACATTCAGTTCATTGGCAGGGTACTCGATGGATTTCGGTTCAGTCTGGTGTGTTTCGGTCGACGTGGAGACATCCCGCTCCGGATGAGTGTAGGCCACCGGCCGATATTCCAGATAACCTCCGGTGGAGTATTTGAACGCTCCTGGCGATAGAACGTCGATGATTTCAAAAATTCCAGGTGTATGTTCATCGTCCAAACTTTTCCGCTTCGTTATCTCGAAATCCGATCCGCTCACTGCCTGCTCTGACACGACAAACAGCAGTTCAACTGCGAACCGGGGTCGCTCAAACTTCGTACTGATATTGTTGAATACGATGTCGATCTGGGTCGAGTTGGACGTATGCAGTAAATGCGGATAGTCCATACCGTGGTCACGTGTCGAGAAGGCATTCAACTGAAATTATAGAACATAAGGGTCACTCCACTACCCATCAACCCGCATCACCGAACCAACCTTAAACAGGAAATTATTATTGACATTCAGCGTCGCGATGACATCCTTCTCGTTGAACCACACCAAAGTCCGATTGTAGGCAAACTCATGAGGGTCAAACACGAACAGAGTCGCATTTTCGGCCATCGTTCCCTTATCCTCGGGGTCATCGAATTGGAAAATCTATACAAACCCAGCAATCAATACCTATAATACGAGCCACCACATTTGAATTACAAATCACGCGCGTCCTTACCCGATTGATAACCGTCATAAAGGTGTATATCGGTTGTTCACTAAATTTGACGGACTGAGGTCGTCCTGCAAAGAGATCATCCCAATGGATGTCCAAGGTGACATTCTTCCTGGTCAGCGCCACCAGAATCGTTGGTTTCCCGGTGAAATCCCACACGTAGTGTATTGTATCCACGGCCGAATCCGCCCGGATGTGAACCAGAGTAATCCCCGCGCTGTCGCCGGAGCAGATATTCTCCGGGCAACCGGGATTCAGCCAACCCGTCAGCTATAGTTAAGGAACAATCATTCGTCGTATTACACATTGCAGACTCAATGCTACTCAACCCTTTGTTCTAATGAGTTGCGAGATTACGAAATCTGCAAACATTAGTCATTATCTATGTGACACACATACCGTCCGTTCGATGTCACTCGATTGGGCCGAGCATAATCCGACACCAGTGAAAGCCAACAGCAGCAGCAGCACCGTATGCGAAGCTCTTTGCAGCTTAAACATTGTTCACCTATGCTTAATCCACCCCCCGTTTTTAAAACACGCTCTTCGATATCGATCCCGCAGTAAACAGTATAAAAGATAAGTGGAACAACAACGAAAGTATCCCTTTATTAACAACAAAAACCTTATCACAAACACTCACTCTTCGGTTCGGACCGTTCGGACGCTTAGGATGTGTGCGAGGTTTCGATGTTTAGTGACCTCTGTCTAGTTCGCAACTCCGCGCAACGACTAACGGATGACAGAAGACAGACAAACGCAAAACGCGATGAGATGACCCCAAGAGAGATGACCCACTTTTGTGGCGAACGGGTGAACCCTCTTGGGGGTGAACAAAAACATAAAAGGAAATTTGACAGCTGCCGGTTCACATCTCTACTAACGGCGACCGAGATAACCGCACAGTGCACAGTGGGGAATCTCCATACAAGGAGGTGGCCAAAAATATTGTCTTGCTCATTCTACATTGTGTGTCTTGGAGTTATATAGGCTCAATAAAACTTCAACCGAGGCTTCTTCAACAATGTCGTGAAAAGCCATAAACGCTGTCCAGACTGGAGAGTTATAACATGTTATAACGGTTGTCAAATAATTGCAACACAGAAACCACCAACAAGATAGCGCTATAACTCTGTAGTCTGACTGGCGAAGAAATCAATTAAAATAATGTGGTTCGCTGTAGAATTTTCTTAGAAGCTTGTGCCATCAGCCACCAGATAGGCTAGTATTTTTGTTTCGATTTGAACATAGTTGATTTTGTGTGCATTATGATCTTTGACAGTGTGCAAAGAGTGTATCATTTTGTAATTTTTTATGCATTTCAGTTTAGAGTAGAGTGAAAGAGATAGAACTAAAACATTCTAGTACATTTAGTGTTGCCATGTGGTACAATCCATTAGTAGTGTTGCCATGTGGTACAATCCAGTAGTAGTGGTGTTGCCATGAGGTACACTGAAAAATTGCAATAGCTGGTGCGTCACCAAAGTTTTCGAGCCGCTCCGTCTGTCACTTCGTTTGTGCTAATACACTCAAATTTTTTTTGCCGAGAATCCAACAGCCGAGTATTTCTTCAATTTACTTAGCTGAGATTCAGTAAAACAATTGCCGAGACTCAGTTAACAAATCAAATTTTTCTGAGATATCAGCTCACAAACAGATATTTTGCAGAGATATCAGCAAAAGTTACTACCAAGGTAATCGGTTGTTGGAAATTTTACCGAGCTAGATTAAGTGTGTATGACTCCAAGAAAATCAAGATAGCCTTTTGACAGCTGGAATGATATCAATAAGATACTTATGGCTCTCCAAAGTACTCTGAAGATCAACTGGCTCAATGAAGTCTTAAAGAATGTCCTGAAAGTCTATATGAGTCCGGGAAATTCAAGTGAGCTTCCTGTCAATAGGCACATCATCGGCTGGTTTCAATAAGATATTTAATGCTCTCCAAAGTATTCTGGAGTTAAGATTTTGGAGATCTACAGCGCTCAATTAAGTATTAAACATTGTCCTGATAGACTTTAACGGTTCGTGAAGTTCTAGAGAGCCTTCTGTCAACAGGCACATCATCGAATGGTTTCAATAAATGTGAGTCAAGGGCCGTAAGACACTTAATACCCTGCTATGTACCTTAAATGAAAAATGTTGGCGCAATCTCACACGATCACATTTGTCACATTTTGAAACCACTATGCGGTTGTCCACTACGAAAGTAGTGCGTATTTGCTCAGCGAGGGTTCTACATTCTCTCAACCGCAGCGCTGCTGTTTTCTCCCTAGGATATTAACAAAGTTGCCTGTCTTCGTTAAAACGAAGCTCAAAGTCTAACCAGCGCAATTTGACTCGAATCTTACTGTTTGGGCCTCGATTTGGATCAAATACGTAAGAATGGATATTTCATTGTAAAATCAATAATGTGTAATAGATGGCGGCAGTGCTCAATCGTTAATCTTCATAACAGTACAACCAATTCAAATAAGCCGTTGAACAGCTTGTGAATTTCTCTTTAAAGCCACAATAGTTCGAAAAATGCCTTAATTCGATATAAAAATTCTGAGTTGTCATCAATACTAAAATAACAGTGACCACGATTATGTTCCTAAATCAGTTGTTTGTGTTTTTTTTTCGGTGAATGATGGTTGATTGGTTCATATGCTTGGTAAAATATGACTATATTTACAATTTAAAAGCAATTAAGCCTGATTTTCTGACATTTAATTGGGCTGTTGAGGCAAATACATATTCGTGATCTACATCAAAATTGGAACTAAAATCCAAAATTTCATCATTTTTTAACTATTTTAAATAAATGCGGTTACAGCATCAAAAAAAAAACACCTTAGCACCAGAGTTGCTTCCACTCACTTGCTATAAAAACATATTTTTCGGAATTATGCCATCATTAGATGATATAATGATATGCTGTACTTGTAAGTAACGAGAAAGTACGTGCTTGACTCATAAAACCTGCCAATTTTGCTTTCAGACCGTCACAATAAGCGATCTTATGATTCGTGAGCGTTCACTCAGAGTGAGCACTCACGAGTCGAAATATTGCTGATTGTGATGCACTGAACGCAATATTGACAGATTTTATGTGTCAAACACATACTTCACGTCCTCATCTTGTAACTTACAAGTACTAATTATCACTATACCATCTCATGATTTCATAATTCTAAAAAACATTTTTTTATAGCAAGTGAGTGGAAGTAACCCTGCTTAGCACCCGTCGGAGGTACTTTGCATTATAGATACTATAGTTTCCAAAGATAAGCGGAAATACAAAAGTTGTTTTGGAAACCATGAAAAATATATGATCTTACTGGCATCCGTGAATAATGTTCAAGTCATCATAGAGCTCTTCGTTGTGCAGTTTTGTTTTGTTTAGTGCGAAAAAAGTTCAAAATGAAGTGCAAAGCAAATCTTTGCAACAATGAATCGAGGAGTGGTTTGCGTTATATTTCCTTCTTCCGTTTCCGCGAAATAAATCAGAATGTGGAGTGCGTAAAGCGTTTTGTGCTCATAATATTACAATACTTTTCCACGTAAAAAAAAAACACCATGATGACGTAATGCTCGTTTTGCTTCACTAACTGACAGTTCGTTTGCCTACATTCTACTTTGCCTCCACTTATCTATGGAATCTATAGCACCGACAAACCGACATGAATGACCATAGCAAAAACAATAAAATTTCTGACCAAAGCACACTACTGACATCTCCGCTCCGTGTTCGCGGGAAATATTTACCTAAGCCATGAACCCCGCATGTAAAAGTTATGAATTGGTTCGTGTCTGATCTATTCTGGGCGAATTATTTTTATCTAGATCAAAAACTCCTTTGGTTTTGACGGTTCGGCTCACTGCACATTTAAATCGGCCGTTTACGATTTTCGGGCATAAGTCAGAATTAAGTGTCATGTCGGTTTGTCGGTGTCTATAGTAACTAATGTAGTGTCAAAAATTATAAATTTAAATCTTGATCAATCTTTTCATTTTGTCGAACCTCTTAACGGAATCCCTTTATGAGTGTGTTGATTTATTTCCTTTTAATTCCGTTATAATTGCTTATCTTGCTTATACAACAATCCATCTTTTATCTACAACTCTACCTTTTGGAGACTAAACGTAGGTACTAACCAAACTGGTTAGGTAAATGTGACATGGCGGTTGGATACCTGCTGATTTTTGATATCTATTGAATAGTACCAACAATCAATACGAAACTAACGATTTTAAATTGGCTCACTACTCGACTAGCCTATTGGTCCCAAGCAAATCGACTAACGTACCCCATTCTAGTATAAATTCCAGTACTACACTATGTTTGTTTTGATTCGCTATGAAAGTTTGACAGATAAAATGAGGGATTCGTGGATTTTCCTATGTTTCGAGGGGTGCATCGATTAACTTGGGACCGAAGATAGTACCATAGCTGAGCCAAAAAGTTGAGCTCGTTTCTTCGGGACCTTCTGGTCTTAGAGTTACCTCTATGATAGTACCGAAGACAACAAATCAAGAAGACTGGCAACTCTTCCATTTTTTTCCTTTGGTTTGTTTTTTCCGTCGATCTTGTTTTCCGTGCTGAGCACCAATGCTACCGACGTGCCAGGAAAGCAGCTCCCACACCTGGACCCTACCTATCGACCCATCAAACTCATGAACCGTGGACCAACGGCTTTACTTCCCATCCGAAGGAAGGCGTGATCAGAGATGTTATGCCTCAGAACATCCCGGCGGCGCCGACTGGGATTGAACCCAGGCCTGCTGGGGTGAGAGGTAACCACTACACCACCGGCGCCGTTAACTCTTCCATTTTCTCAAACGAACGCTATGAGACAGGTAACATTGCATCATCTGCCGCTCAAAGGTAAATGCTTCGAACGAGTTTGATAGCAAAGATTACATCCTCAGAAGAAAGGTTTGTGTATTTGCTCATTTTTCTATGCGTTTCTTCCACCTTCACTCAAGCGCAGCGCTATTGTATCTGTCGCTTGGATCAATAGATACTAAAAAACAGCAGCATCCAACCGCCATGTCACATTTACCTATCCAGTTTTGGTAGCACGCTAAAGAGTCTCGAGTATCCGTTCCTTGATCTCTATTAAGCAATGTTGATGGATTATGCTAAAATATTTCTAAACTTTCTGCTACGTCTAGTTTCCAAGGCGAAGATAATATTATCCTTTGTCAAATTGTGCCTTTTTGTAAAGATATGTTCTGTAACCTTGGATTTGTTTATCTATCTCTTTGTTATCCTGTTTACCTCTGCAAGGCGTTAAAAGATAAACAGTTATAACGGAATTAAAAGGAAATAAATCAACACACTCAAAAAGCCCTTCTTAAATCTTGAGATGACTAAACAACCCAATTAGGGTAGACGTACCAGTTATGGCTATACGTTCCCATTATGGTATGTTCCAATTATGGCCTATGGAATTCCATAGGCCATAATTGGAACACACCATAATGGGAACGTATAGCCATAACTGGTACGTCTACCCTATATGCAGTGCACTGCAAATATGTGATGCTGTCATTTTAACGCCAGCGAAACCATTCCATCCTCTTTCATCCGCAACTCTGGACATTTTTCTTCAAATCAGAATTGATGCAAACCCCATCCTTCAAGGTTCCCTCCTGCAGTAGCTGGTCGAAATTTTCGTCAGGATGATGCGACCTGAGGTGCTTCTTCAGATGAACTTTTTGAGTGAAAAACCGATTATCGCACTTGACACACTGATAAAAGCGCAAACCCGAATGTGTAACCTTATGCTTGTTTAAATCTGAGCTGTTGGTGAAACCTTTCCCACACGCGTCGCAAATGTAGTCGCGCGTGTTGGTGTGAGTCCTGTGGGAAGAAAGATCCACTGTAAGTATTTACAGCAAACTTGTATCATTCGTGAAACTTACCTAATGTGGGTTTTCAGCGCACTTGATTGACTGTAGCTCTTATCGCAATACTGACAACTGTAAGGTTTCTCTAAGGTGTGCTTCCGTATGTGACTTTTCAAATTACCGGCTTGTACAAAGGCCGCACTGCAGTAACTGCATGCGAACAGCTTCACATTGGCATGCAACCGTAGATGATCAACCAGATTGGACTTTCGCTGGAATGATTTATCGCATACCTCGCACTGGTATCTTCTCTCCACTGTATGTGTGTACTTTCTCCTTCTCTTGCTAGACGGCTGCAGATTACGCAGGATGAAATCAACGGCATCGGTTGCGTCTTCCTCGACCGTCTCATCGTCCGATTCGGGATCCATTTCGGACTCTTCCTGTTCTTGCGCCTCGCAACTTCCAGGACCTCCTCCACCCATTTCATAGATGACGTAGTCCTCGACCATTTCAGTACGGCTTGGTGTTGCTTCAAGTCGTTCGATTTGAAGAATTTCTGTCTCGGCTGAGGAAGCTCCTTCCGTCGCTAGGTATTCTTCGTGGCAGGATTCCTTTTCTTCTTTGATATCCTTTTTTAACTGGTTTAACTCAACTGGCTTTAAGCGTTGCTCTCTTTCCATGGCTTTTTCCTTAAGCGATTCCAGTAGAAGACTATTGTTACAAAATTCGAGTATGAAATTATAGGCATCCTGCAGACGCAGTTGACAACACTGACATATCTTCGAGGGAAGGCGATCGTCCAAAGGGCACTGGAATGGACGGGGTGGGATTTAGTTCTAATGTTTTATTCTAAAAAGACGATGAAAATGGGGATAGAATGGCACATTTAACCGAGCATTTAACGATAAATTCTTGGAAGTACATCTCCTCTATTCAGAATAATCGAGCAAGAAAGAATCTGTGCAGGATTTTTATGCAGGGATTTGTAAAATGATCTAACAGGCAAGATGATGTTTTCTGTAGATTGTTAAATTTTAAAAACTCGATTAAAAATAACTGTCACAGTTGTCCAAATATATCATTTCATTAGATATTTTTCCAATGTAATAACGGCTAACGCGCTAACTACTAACTAGACGGTTTCTAGCAACACTGGCATTGCTATTTATCAAGATGGGCACTGCTCGATTTCCCAAAAAATTCCAAGATGGAAAATGTCCGTGATTTTTTTGTTGACTTTAAATGATGCGTCTTTTCAACTTTAGTACATTTGAAATTTTTATTATTATTTACAGTTCCTAGTCCTATCAGGCCTGTTATTAGAGTATGTATGACCACATTGGTGGGATTGGATTGTTTTGAATTTGAAAAAGGAGACTACTTATAACTACTATTTACAACTACAATTATCCTGTAACTACTATATACACCTAACCTACTGTATACAAATTGCTTATCAAAGCATGTTCTGATGTTGATCGCACACGGGCAGAACTTCCCTACGTTGTGTGAATAGATGGTGAAAATAAAACACGGTCGTTTATCGGGCCATCCTGCCATGGCAGAGGCATGCGAACTATTGAATTTATTTGCAATCTTTACAATAGAACGGTAGGCATGATAACACTACGCTTGCGGCACTTGTGTATTGATATGAGTATTTGGATAGGGTATTTGCACATGGTTTGTACCAACAGATGTATTGCATTTCTGCATAAACCTAGTCTTAATGTCATCAATTTTGAAATCTAATTTTGGAATGTTCACCTCTTGGTGGAGGTCCGAAATTCTTGTGTCAAAGGGACGATCAAAGATCATCCTAAGCACTCTGTTCTGAGCGACCTGTGAGTCTGTGCACATGATTCCCACACCGGAGCTGCGTAGAGGACCACAGGTGCTATAATTTGTTTGTAGACAGCCAGTTTGTTCATCCTTAAGAGGCGGGATCTGCGGCAAATCAGCGGATACAGACACCTAACCAAGGCGGAACACTTGACTAAGGTTTTCTCTACATGCGAGCGGAATAGGAGCTTTTCATCAAACAACATCTCGAGATAGGTTACTTCGGTGGACTACTCAACCCTTGTGCCGTCCATGATTACAGTACAAGAGGGAGCCGGTTTTAGTTTGGGCGATTGCCGAGGGAGGAACATGATTGTTTGTGTTTTGGAGGCATTGATTTTGATTTTCCACGTGACGGCATAATCAGCAAAGGCGTGAAGGCATCGTTGAAGTTTGTTCGTTATTTCGCGAGGCATCCTTCCTTTGACGGCTATTGCGGTATCATCTGCGAACCGTCTCCGAGGGGAGGAATGTCAGAAGTGTAGATGCTGTAAAGCAAAGGGCCCAACAGACTTCCTTGCAGAACACCTGCTGGGATGGAAAACGTGTTTGAAAGGCAGCCATTCAACGATACCTTAAACGACCTTTGCTGGTGGTAGTTACGGGTGATTTTAACCAGATGTAAAGGAAAGTTGAATTTACAAAGCTTGTATACAAGCCCATTGTGCCAGACATTGTCAAACGCTTTTTCAACGTCTTACAATGCCATGGCTGTAGACTTGGATACAGCCTTGTTACTTCCTATGTTATTCATCACCCGTACTAGCTGATGATTTGTGGAGTGCCCCTTCCTGAACCCGAACTGTTCCGGTAGGAGAATGTTGTGTTCCTCGACAAACTTGAGCAAACGATTGAGAATAAAACAATTTGCTCAGCGCTGAAAGGAGGCTGATCGGTCTGTAGCTTGAAGCTAGCGTTGGGTCCTTCCCAGGTTTGCGGATAGGTATGATTTTCGCTGTCTTCCAGATACTTGGAAAGTAGTGCAGTTCCAAGCATCTGTTAAAGACAGCAGCCAGCAGAGAGTGAACCTTCATGCTGAGATTTTTCAATACTAGATTGAATATTCCGTCAAACCCGGCGGCCTTCATGTTTTTGGTGCATTTCAGCGCTGAGCAAATCTGTTCCACTGTGATTCTATCCTCCGGAGGGATGGCACAAGGGGAGGAATCAAGGTTGAGTACGCATTGCTCAACTTAAGCTTCGAGCGGACTTTGGATGTTGAAGCCAAGCAAGTGCGATTTGGCAATATGCTCACCAATCGCATTTGCTTTCTCCTGAGGGGTGATTATGAGCCGATCGTCATCATTTTCATATTTAAGTGGAGGAATGGGTTTGGGGTGCGTCTTTAGGACCTTGGAAACTTTCCAGAATGATCTGGAGCGATCGTCCAGATTCTGGATGAGCCGCCCGAAACTTTCGTTCCGGAGTGAGACCATTCTGGAAGCAATCTCCTTGTTCAGATCGGCCATTTAACGTTTCCACGCTAGATCTCCGGTTCTTTGGAACTTGCGTCTACAAACATTTCTCAGCCGAATCAAGAGTTGGGTGTGGGAATCAATGGCAATAAACTTACCCCTCACAGGAATTCGTCTGACGCACGCCTCGTCAGCCATGGTTATAGCTTGGTGGTGTCCCTCCAACGCTCGGTCGATGTCCTCCACGGAGTCAAGCGGCGGGTTGTCGATGATGTGCCTACGTTGTAGCCCAGTTCAGCCACTACCGGTTGATGGTCGGAGCTGAGTTCGTTCAAGGCTACCGACTTGGACAAGCCGGTATTTGTCAGAAACAGGTCTAGCGTCGATGGGTTGCCCGCCGGTGAGATAAATGTTGGCTCATCCGAAAACCAAACGGAGTACAGCCCATGCTGTGAGTGGTCGAACAGGAGACGACCGTTCTGGTTCTGCTGGTAGTTCCGCCAGGCCTCATGACGAGCATTCAGATCTCCTCCAACAACGAAGCGGGAACCGGTACGGGTGATGGTGGACAGGTCTTTCTTGAATTTAGTCGCTAATCCGCTGCTGGCGGCACACTGTCGAGGGCAGTAGACGGCGATGAACTGGACGTATCCAGTCGCCGAATCCACCTCCACACCAAGGGCCTCGATGATAGAGGTGCGGATATGGGACAGACTGCGGTATTTTATCCCTTTTCTGACGATGATCGCAACACCACCCCTCTGGAGCTGGTACGATCAAGCCGAATGATGTTGTGGTCCGGCAACCAGCAACTGTCGCCGGACTTAAGGTGGGTCTCGGTGAGGAGGCTCACGTCGATGGTATGCTTAGGAAGGAAGTCCGCAAACTCGATGGTTTTTGCTCTTAAGGAGCAAGCGTTCCATGTGACTACACACTTAATCTAGCTCGGTAAAATCTCCAACAACCGATTACTTCGGTATTCACTTTTGCTGATATCTCTATAAAATTTCTGTTTGTTAGCTGATATCTCAGCAAAATGTTATTTGTTAGCTAAGTCTCGGCAATTGTTTGACTGAATCTCAGCAAAATAAATTGCAGAATTACTCGGCTGTTGGAATCTCGGCGAAAAAATTTAAGTGTGTATGCATAGTAGTTTAGACGCCATAATGCATAGCCAGTTTCATGATAGTTTCGAAATGTTCGTTCTTGTTGGTTCACTTGTGGAAAGCGTTGGTAACATGGACGAACATGTTCCATCACTCGTCCACCGAGTACATACCTTCTAGCGTTGGCGGTGTTCTCCAGGATCCAGGGGGGAGTAGAAGAGGCAGAAAGTCGCCTGGCTCGAAAGTCGGGGAAAACAAGTGTGATACTATCACTTCAAGCTAGATCTTTAGTTCTCTCATGCAATGGTTCATCATAGACTCGATCAGAGACGGGAAGTTCAGTAATCCTAGCTAGTAATCATCGCCTGCCCATGACGCCACTCCACCGCGGCATGAGCCAGCGACGCCGGCCATATACCCATAGAGATTTTCACGTCTAGTTGTATTGGCGCGATATGTGAGAACGTGTTAGTGAAAATCCGAGGAAAATAAATAAAAAATCGCTGTCAAACTCATTTCGGTAGATCTAATTTCATACATTTTTTAGGTTAGCCAGAGGAAAATAATAAACAACTTTACACGCCGGTGCACCCGCTAGTGTACGTGCGACGTCACTAATCTCTATAGTCTATAACCACAAACGAAGTGCCAGACGACTAACTGGCGAAGAAATCCATTAAAATAAAGTGGTTCACTGTAATAGAATTTTCTTGGAAGCTTGTGCCATCATCCACCAGATGGGTTAGTTTTTTTGTTTTGATTTGAACAAAATTGATTATTAAAATACCTGGGAATGTATTTACATGGCCGTGAGGATGCTAAGAGAAAATCGACGAAGAGAATCTGTCAATGTTACTTAGGACCTAATGCAATGTCCAGCTTGAAATATTCATCTAAAAACTACAAGGGACAGCCCTTTGGTGAGACCGGATAGAATTCAACATTGAAATCTGTGTTAGGGAAACCGCTTTTCGTAGGAAATTGGTGATAATTTTAATAATCATAGCAAAAGTTGCACAGTCGTGCAATTTTCAATAGTGATATGTTGAAAAATGATAAAGTCTTAAAATTAACAGATACGTAGAAATATATCTGATCGATTGGTGATAAAATTATTCATAATTTTGTTACATGTTCCATTTTCGGTTTGCACAAAGTGTACCCCCATATATAAATCACAGACGTAGTCCTACGTCAAAATATCTAAATGCTGACACCATCGTAACTTTGAACTTAGGCAAAAACAGCAAAGATTGCCATCGATGCACATTTGTAGTATCCTTGTTATCGATTTGCATCGCTGGGTAAAGAGAGTTCGACACACAACAGATGACAGATGGCAATGTTTACTTGACCTTACCAAAAATAGTTAAAACTCGATGAATATTTCAAATGGTCCTATCTGCTTTGATCAATTCTCTTCATCGACATTCTCTTTTGATAACCGTTGCTATGCAAACAGATTTCGCGCTAATTTTACCACATAGTTTGATAAAGGAGCTTCTTATCTAGCGTCCAAAACGTCAAATACACCAGAGAATGGTTTTGCAACTGAGTTATTAACGAAAGAGAAAGTCGATGAAGAGAATCGATCAAGGTAGATAGGACCTTTTGAAACGTTTATCTAGAAAAATTGTTTAAAATCCCTGCTAAACTTTAACTGAAATGGTTATGGAACATTACATGAACGTTTGTGTGATAAAGTTTTAACCTTATGTATTGTTTTTTTGGAAGAGGGCCTTACAAATAATGGGTTGTTAAGAACCATAACCATTCAAAATAGTTGTTTTCTCCATACATTTTCGGAAAAAGAACTATATTAGAACCTTTTAACACAGACAAACAGACGTAACACATTGAATATTTCTCACTGTAAAACATCGTTCATGAAACATTAGCGCCATCTGTTGAGTACACTGTGGTGGGTAGTGCGCTGAACAGATGGCGGTAGTGTGTAAACGTCATTCGCAAAGAAAATGACTATGCACGCCACAGGTGGCGGTACTACCAACTATGATACTTTTAAATTGACCGTTAAATGCTTGCTCGATGAACAACTTGCGAGTGTTATGTCTGTTTGTCAGTGCTTCTAACATTTGGTTTGAGAACTTTAATGATAATGGTTATGGCTATATATTCCACGTAAAGTTGACTAATAATACAAAACCATCCATGGAACTTACTGACTACCATAGCCATTACCATTAAAGTTCTCAAACCATAAGTTAAAAGGTTCTAATATAATTCGTTCATGTCAAGTTCTCTAACCATGTGCAAACGTTCATGTAAAGTTCCATAACCATTTCTGTTAAAGTTTAGTGGGGATTATAAACCATTTTTAACCATTTGAGGTAAGGTCAAGTTATTGTTCGCGTTTATGCAATTATTAAGTTAAAAAATATCACCCAAATATAAAAAAAAAAATCAAAATATATTGTTATCTTGATCTTACACAGCCATCGATATTTTTATATATGTAGGTAACGATCGGCAACAATATTTCGATACCGATCTTAATAAATGGTTCACGATTAGTCATTAGCATATCTACATTTCTTCGCTATCGATTTTTATTATGAATGGATTTAAAGACCGATATATCGAAAGTTCAAGAAATGGTTGGTCGGGAATGACTGTATGCCCAATGGTCACTTTACGTTACGTTCAATTCAAAGTGTACCGCATTCTGCAAGTTGGGTGTTGTAATTTTTGAACACCCTTTAAATGAATCTGATTCGTGTTGACAAAATCAAACTGTTTCACTGATGAATCTCCATGAAAGTTCACTAATAATCACAATTTTACAATCGTGGTAACTTTTACTGAAATGTCCGTCTCTAGAACTGCCGGTTATCAAAATGATCCACTCACCTCAACTCCCGTCGTCTTCCGCAGTGCCGTCTGTACGCTTACGTCCGCTTCCGGCAACTGTGTGCTGTCGATATCGAGGAAGTAATCACTTTTCTCCGACCCTAAACATATCCGGCAGCAATGTAGGTAATTTTCTACGGAAATAGCCATGTTGGCGCGAAAATTTCACCGGAAGAACAGCACAACGATTTTGGATTTACGAAAAAAAACTTCTCAACTTTTGTGTTTGTAAACATGAGAGCTGTCAAATTTCCATTGCGAGATGCTAACCGACATTATTTTAATCGTTGAGTTTTTGATGTTTATGGCGGATGAACTCATTAACGGTGTGTTTATAATTAAACCTTGGTCATTTGGCTAGATTTTGGCTTGCTGCGAGCGATTCCCAACATTTAATTCAATGGTTTCTATCAACGGAAGCGTTCTGTGTGGATTAAGATAGGTTGTTTAGTGATTAGAGCTAACAAAACATGGGTCGCAAACGGAAAACACGTGCACCGATAAAAATCACTGATAAACAGGTCAAGTTGGAGGATTCCAACAACAGTACAGATGCTCCTCTGGCAGTCGTAAAAAAGTCTTCGTCTCCCGAACCACAACATGTCATCGCTCAATGCTCGGTCCCGCCCAATCCGAACAAAAAACCGTGGGTGAAGAAGTGTCGCCAGTGGGTAGACGAGCAACAGCAAGAGGCTGAGCCGCCACCGCTCGAACCGGACGTCGATGATGAACCACCGATGGACGAACCGGCCGAACTACCGCTGGGAACTGACGTACCCCTTCGGCAGATGCTTAAGGATTACAGCGAGAAGGAAATCCTGAACTCGGTCATGTACGAGTGCGAATGGCTCAAGTGTGGCTTCGAGACAACCGAGGACTTAAAATATATCACTCACGTCGAAGCACACGTCTATCAATATCTGGCCGAGCAGGGGGACAGTGAAGGTATGCTAATCCGGTAGAAATTCCTAATGTAATGTTATAAACTTGTTCCCTTCTTTAGATCTCGTCTGCTTCTGGGACCTGTGCGAATTCCGTACTTCGAGCCCGAGTGACCTCGAAAGTCACGTACACTTTCACGTGTACCACAATCGGGTCAAAACGCATGGAGCCAGCTTAAGCAGCATAATTCGCATTCCGAAGTGCAACGGTGACAGTCGCCGGAGGAACTGCATCGACAGTTTCAAGACCAAATTCCGCTGCGAATGGAACGACTGCGACGAAGTCATCAACAAAGTTCACCTATTCTTTCTACATGTCAACTGTCACGTGCAGGATCAATTTCCGATTGATAGGAAATCTACCAAACAGTTGATGCAGTGCCAATGGGTTGGATGCAAACAGATGTACATGCGAAGCAGCATCGCATTGGAACATACACGGAGACATACGACGGAACGAACCATCGGGTGCTACACCTGCGGGGCGATGTTCGTTTCTCGTTTGAAGTACATCGATCACTGCAAGCGGCAAGTCGAATACCACAGTATGTAGCGTGGAACGTGATCGGGCAAAAAAAATACGAACGATTCAATCCAATCAAAGCTTCTGTTTAATTTGCAGATCGTGAATTCTCCTGTACGGGTTGTGACAAACTGTTCGCCACGAAGCAACTGATGATTGACCATCGGAATATTCATGATAAAAAATTTAGCTGCACGCTGTGTCCGATGAAGTGGCCTTCGAAGAAGGCACTGGCCACCCACATACGCTACCGACACGTGACCGTGAAGCCGTTCAAGTGTCAAATCTGCAGTCATCGGTAAGTTTAGAGCACCTAGTAGGTTTGCCCCTAGAATGGTTTTGTTTTCCAATTGCGTCAACGAGATTCAGTTTGGCATCACTGTCTACAAGCTGACCAAGTCAAGCGTTAAATTCGGCCACGCAAAAATCACCGATTCAAAAATTCATTCCTTTATATTTTGACGATATTCATTGTCCTTAGTGTTATCTTTGCGCTATTTGTTGGAAAACTAATGTCGTTTTCGTTTTTGCGGTGTAGCACCGGTGTAGTGTAAGCAGGAATAAGCGCGAGTCTTTGACAGCTCAACACCATTTGTTTGTAAACAAAGGTGCATCCTTTATCTACACCCTAAAATATTTCGGTGTACGGCAGTGTAGCACCGGTGTAGCAACACCGCAAAAACGAAAACGATATAACAAATCTAGTGTTCAGAATCATAAGGGCCTAACTGCGATGATCGATTCTCTTCATCGCTTTTCCAAAGTTCACTGAACCATCGATGTTTTAGTGATACAATAGACGTTCGCTAATTGAAAGGCTTTTAACTGAACGTCCGTTTACTGAAAGAAGACGCATCAGTTATCGGAGAAGTTAGCGAATGTCTACACGGCCAATGAGAACAAATTTGAGTTTAGTTCACTCATAATCGCCAAAAGTGCAGGAACTCTGCGATGAGTAAATTTGCCTCAGGTGTTTCTGTGGAAAACGTCACAAATCTGCGGGAAAACGAGGAAAATTTACGAAAATTTTACTCAGTCTAGGAGTAGTACCAATAGACTGAGTAAATCTAATCTTTACTTTTCTCATATTCGGGAAAAAAAACATGAGGCAAATACTCATCGCTGAGTTCTTGTACTTTGTGATTTATGAGTAAAATAAACTCATATTTGGGTCGTTCTTATTGGTCGTGTGGTGTTGCCAACACTGCCTGCTCAGGCATCGTAAAGGCCGGCGCACAATAGATACGTTTTCGGGTTTTTTGACAGATAATCACCCCTATTCTGTATTTCGTTTCGAACGAAATTCTCATACAAAAAAATATTTTTTTGTATGAGAATTTCGTTCGAAACGAAATACAGAATAGGGGTGAATGCATGGGCTAACTGTCAAAAAACCCGAACACGTATCTATTGTGCGCCGGCCTTAAGCGTCTCGATGTCAACTCAAGCTGAACATTGCATTAGGTCCTAAGTAACATTGACAGATTCTCTTCGTCGACTTTCTCTTTGTATCCCCACGGCCATGTAGACATTCCCAGGTATTTTCAGCACACTGTTAAAAAAAAACTTATATCTAGCATCTAATACGTCAAACACAACAAGAAACGGATGTGTGCGCAAGTAATCGATGAAAAAGAAAGTCGACGAAGAGAATCGATCGATGTTACTAAGGACCTAATGCAATGTTCAGTTTGAACTAATAAAACATCAGATGTAGCCACTAGAAACACTCAGAGGGAGAGATGGGCGGAGAGAATGTTTTGAGCCAAATGAACTGTCAAAATCTGCACGGTAAGAAAAAAGTACCCAACGGCCAGTTCGCTTTTACCTACTTTTGACTAGTTTGTCTCCTTTTCTCCTTCTAATGTTGTCAAAAACGGAGGAGCAAATCCACCCAACAGGGTTAGTAAAGTGTGGGAACCCAACGTTGAGTATAATCATATTTACCTACACACTCATTTTTTACTGCTGGAAACCAGCAAAATTTTGCTGGATTTTGCCGAGCTGGAAGTTCAGCAATCTTTACAGCAAAATATTTTTGCTGGATGACCAGCAATGTGGATTGAAGTCAAAGTGACAACACATTACTGAAAAATCAGCAATCTATACTGAATGTACAGTAAAGTTGAGTAACAAACTTTTTGCTGGAATCTCAGTTAGTTTTATGTATCTATGGTCTTTTCATATTAGCAGCAAATAAATAGATTACTGATTTGCATATACTTGATAACATTAATTTATTACACCGTTATGTTGATTAAATATCCCTTTTAACGCTGATTATGAACCATCAATCATAAGTACGGTCATTTATGATAGGCAGATAGGATCGTTGGCAGGATATAACTCTGAGCTTATTGAACAAGTTTATCTTGAATCGGAGAGGCTGTAAAGAATAGGGAGTTGTTATTTTTCACGAAACACAAAGATTTTTATATTTATTCAATAGTTTAATAAATATTTACCTGCATTTCCTTAAATTTTATCAGAGGATTGACAAGAAAAACTCCTTGCAGTATGTACAACATGGAGTTCGCAACGAAAATCAATAAACAGTTTGACAGTTCATGAAATTCACTGAGATTCCAGCAAAATTAGCATATTTGCTGAATGTACAGTAAAATTTGCTTTAGCTAAAAACAAACCAGCAAATCTTTTTGCTGGAACTCGATTTCAAAATTTCAGTGCCAACATTTCAAAGGGGCGTAATTGCATTTGTAAACAATGGCTTTAGCCGTCGATTTCTCGCGAATAAAAGCTCACTCATGAAAAATAATGACACCAGCAGGTAGAGGAATGTCTCCTCTACCAGCATGCATTGTTATTTTGGAGAGGCAAGATTTCATTCGCGAGAAATTGACGGCTAAAGTCATTGTTTACAAAAGCAATTACGCCCCTTTGAAATGTTGGCACTGATTTGGTGTGTACTGTTGGGTACAACTAACTTACTTTTGGACGAACTGCACACAAGTAAATGAAAATTAATTTGACCCGCTTTACCTACACAGCAAAAAAAAATGTAATATCGATCAACGTAATTCAAGCTGATGTATGAAATAATGCTGTAATAGCAAAAAGCAGATACAATATTACATCAATGGATGTAATTTTGTTCGCAAAATCGATGTACATCGTACAATGTGATATTACACAACCGATGGATTGACCTGGTTGCAGTAGTTTCGATGTAATATTCAACAACTTTTTTTGCTGTGTACTTTTGGGTTCCTGCACTAAAATGCCGAGATGAGTGAAAAGAACTTAATGTTGGGTATCTAACCGTGTGAGCCAATCAAATATTCCCATTAGATTTTTTCCGAGGATTTCTTATTCTTACTAGTAAGAATACTAGTAAGTGAGAGTATTGCAATCGAAAAAAAAATTCAATCACCTTTACTCGATAACTTTTTCAAAGGGACGTATCAGCTTTTGTAAACAATGTATTTGATCGTCGATTTGGCGTAATTGGTAGCTCGCCCACGCATGCTAACACTACCATCAGATAGGGGAAATTTGCTCCTATCTGCTAGTGGTATTAGTAAGCGTGTGCAAGCTACCAGTTACGCCAAATCGACGATCAAACGCATTGTTTACAAAGGCTGATACGCTAGAGGCACGCAATAACCTTTAACTCCAACGCAAGCAACGGCTGTAATTAAATTAATTTCATTAACTACTGCTTTAATTACATTATTTACACAATATAGAACATTGACTTCTTTTAACTCCATTAATTACAGTTGAAATTTCGTAATTAAAGACCGTTAATTACATTTTCAATACTTTTAATTGCATTAATTACGGATAGATAATTTTAATTACCGTCAATACTACTTCAAAACGTATTATTTTTTCGGTTATTTGTATTGCGTGCCCCTCGCTGATACGTCCCTTTGAAAAAGTAATCGATTTCCACTTTTCAAAAGCGCCCATTACACATGTCAATATATTGACAATAAATTGACATACTGACAATATTATTGAAAAGGTGATAAGGATGATGATTGATGACAAGTATTGACGAAAAGCTAATTTTCATTTCACTTTGTCAATACTCAGAATATATTGACAAAAAAAAAACAGTCAATTCTATCAATATCATCAATATACGAATATTGACAACATCAATGGCAATACGTTTGAAGCCTTTTAACCTCAATGTATTAAAGTCAATATTACTTGTCTTAATTTCCCCACACAAGAAACATGGATCAGCGGGCCAAAAGAGAAACGTCGTTACTGGACCTATGCACAGAAAAAAGTTTTCATATAGTTTCCATTGGGAACGCACATGATATTTTTCCAATAACAAAATTAATGATTTTTATCTGAAATTCAAATAACGTTCATACGATCACATGAATTGTATATGACAAATCACATAAACTACTTCATTAGACACATAAGGTTCATGTGATTTTGTGATGCGATTCCCAATTATGAGATCACATGAAAGTTAAGTGAAATTCTAGTGGATATTTTCCATTGGAAATGTGATTTATTTTTTGAGTGTGGAAAATACTTACTACTCACTGAATTCAGATAACCTGAGTCGGTAAAATTTTACCCGGTTTTTGAACTACTAAAAAGTCGGTAAAATTTCAAATTACCATCACTCGTAAGAAATCAATAAAATCGACACATTATCATTGAACGGTTTTAAATAGGTCCGTACAATTTCGTAATAAATTTCAAAATTGTTGAATTGGTTGGTACTAGAAATACTCAGAGGAAGAGATGGGCGGAAAGAATGTTTTGAGCCAAATGAACTGTCAAAATCTGAGCCAATCGAACATTCCTATTAGAGTTTTTCCGAGGATTTCTTATTCTTTCTAGAATAAATTTGAAAGTATTGCAATCGAACAGAAATTCAATCCCCTTTATGTTTTGTGTGCTTCTCAAATTCAACTAGGTTTTGGAACCAAAAACAATACAAAATGATCTTTGTTGGTTAATGAATGGCACCAAGAAATGTGCAAAATATTGCGATGCAATCAATTATTATTTTGCATGTAAATCGAATCAAAAATAAAAGTCATTTGAAATGCTAGCTTCTAGCAAGGGTTGCAAGATAATTTAGGAACAAATCCTTGCTGCCGTATTGTATTTTGTTTTCTCCGCCTATCACACCCTCTGAGTATTTCTAGTTGGTACTATCCTTTCACTCCACTGAAAGTTCCAATAAGAAACTGTCAATGTTTGTTAGAAGAGATGATTTCTCGATGGTTCCGTCAACGCCAATATCAAATGTTGTAACTTTTTGACAGGACACAGAAAATACACAGGACAACATGATAA